AACTTTATTTTGAAGAGTAGACACTTCTGTATAGAGCTTGCAATCATATATTACATAATTAATACACTTTTTACAGGATGTAACAAATACATGTAAAATAACTAAGTATACTCCAATTAAAAAGAAGTACAATTATGTTAGGGTTTATCAATGAAAATATCACTAATATTTTCATCATCTTTGTTTTTTAGATGCAATTTGAAATTTAGTGTAGAAGTATTGGTTGTATGCTGTACACCTGATGTAGAATTTAAATTTCTATTTTATGTTCTAGACAATGACATTCGGCAAAATGAAGGTTTCAAGAATGTATCCTTGGGTAATGTTATACCTGCTAGTTACAAAGAATCAACACCAAATTATCTGAATAAAACTGATTCTGTAAGTACCTAAAAACTATTCCAGCAAATAAGTTTTTCTGTTAAATTAACATTACATGCATCTTAAGAAAAGTGAATTATTATATAAGAGTTATTTAGTAAAGCTCATACTTATAAATCAGTTTGTGTGAAAATGGTTGAGATTTACTAAAGTAACTATTCCTTATACAGGAGTTACTGAACAAATATCGTGTTGGAGCCTTTGAAGTGACAGTTGGGCTGCATGAGCTGCTTGGCCATGGGAGTGGAAAGTTGTTTCATAAGAACAAAGATGCAACATTCAACTTTAATGCAGATATAACACTACATACTGAAACCAATGAAAAGGTGTGATTTTAGATGTTCATTTGACTGGGAAAATTAATATTTCAACACATAGGAAAGAAAGTTGTTATCATAAGCATTACTTGTGTATTGTGGCTGCCTTATCTGAAGCTATGAAATTGAATTGTTTAGTATGTTATGTGTGTGATCTGTACATCAGCAAAACAGAACATATATAAAGTTATCAGCATTATCTGGATTTGGGTGAAATACGAGCATCGCAAGATAATTTACAATAAATGTTATTGAATTTAGATTGAACAAAACAAAGTGAAAGTTGAACCATTTGCAGAGTAGCTGCAAAAGATATAACCTTGGAAGAAGTTAGTTGTTGTAATAGCACCAGAAAAGGCATTAACGATATCCTTTCTCTTGAATTAACTTTTGTGGGTGTAGTAGTTAGTAACCATACAAAAACCTATTAGCAAATTAAAACATTACAGAAATTACATCATAGATGTTACTCATCACTGTAATCTAAATACAAAATTAAAAATCAGAATGAATAAATATAGTAATATAACAGTTATACAGCCATCTTGGAAACTTCCCACTCCAAATAAAGATGTTCTTCTATATCACATTCATGTGTGATATCTACGTGTAATTTATTATTGGTCATCAAATTAGCCATCTTGTGATTGACCTGTTATGCCTATAATTACATAAAGATATTTAAATTCTTATCCTACATTTGATATTTTCAAGAGTGATGTTTTATCTTTAAATTTGACAAAATATTGTAATGTAGATAAGTTTACATAATTGACTTTTTACAATTAATATACAATTGCTAGTATATAGCATATTATTTTACAAAGATTATGAAAGAATATTTCATTTGAATTGTTTAGGATAATAGTAATCTGTGTAACAACCTTAACTCTTTCAACACGGACTTGGTCCCTGGGGCTCATAACAATTTTTTGCTTATTATAGTTTTCATGCTATAAATTTCAAATTAGTAAGCGTATGTTAAAGAAATTTGGTAGATTATCAGTAAACAATACAAGGCTTTCGTATGCAAAAATATCTGATTTTTTTTTATTAAGTATTAAGGTTTTTCTTGTGCCTTTTTTCTTTTCGCATGTTGCCTATCTATCATGCAAAGTAATTTTCATTTTAAGATTAAAAATACTTATATGCATCAGAAAATTTTCAGATTTCACATATGAAATCTTTATAACCTCCAAATAATTATTAAGCATTTTTCAGGAAAAAAAACTTTATATTTTATTTGTTATTTTCACTATTGAATCTTTTAGGGGTTTGGTAGATTTGACCAATCTCGTAATCACCATAAAAAATAAGGAAATAAATATAAATTATGCCTTTTTTGTTCTAGAATGACTACAGATTATAACTCGAAAACACAAATGTTTAGTCTATATAATTTAAATGTCATAACATTATACATTTATATACATATATATATATTTTTTATTATATTGACCTATCAGCTGTGCCTGGCTAACGTCACAGAAGTTACAATGACCCACCGCACGTGCACTCATGTTAAGTGCATCCAATAATATCAAACTGACTGTGTTTTAGTGGACTAGTATTTTGTAAAATACAGTCACATTTCAGTTATAATACATTATATATGTATATACGTTATAACTATTTACAAATAAGTTCTTAAAATTATTTTTCTTAAAACATAGAACAGTAAATAAATAAATATAGCAAACAATTATATCTTTTAGTTATGACCTTTGTACTCGTTTGCTGCTTGTCATAGGTTGCTAAGCCTTATAAATTTTCACACATAGAAAATTTTTTTAGGTTTTTTATATATATATATATATATATTGTACTAACCAAAAAATCATAAATTACTATATCAATACCTAGAATTACACTAATTTATCAAGCCTAGTAACTAAGCTGTATTTAGGTTTAAAAAATATTAAGTTTGAGCAGACTAAAACTCAACTTACCAACTTGAAATCTTGTATCGAAAGAATGAGTTGATGTCATAATACTTGAAAATGGCAGAGAAACCTTTAGATTGGTTATTCACATGTCATTGACAGAATTGTATATGAGGAAGTGTTTCCAAAAATGGAAAGAGGTGGACGGGACCACTGTGTTTGATTCAGTACATGAGTGATATCTCGGCAAATAGAAAAAATAGGAGGTTCATATTTTATATTCTAGCTTGTCAATATCAGTAATTTGAGTTCCTAATTCATAAGAAACTATAGACTTTGTAATTGGACCTCACAAATGTTTAATTTGAACCAGTGCTGCATTCAACATACTTCATGACACACAAAAACTGATGTTTAGTTGGGTTTTTTAATATTTACTTTTAAATTAAGAAATTAAATAATGTATAATACTAAAATTTGAATTATAATATACAATTTGATATCAAACTAATTGACATAAATTCATAAAATAGTAGTTCAATAAAATTTGAATGCGAGACAACAAACGTGATGACATGGCCTCTAACCCATGTGAAGAGGGTTAATGCCTTTTATTAATATGCTAAATTTCATTAAATAATTTTGTAATTTGGTTTCTCTGATTTGTGTAGAATCTGCTTTGGACTTTAACTATGTATCTTACAAGATATTTTCTTTTTTTTAGAATTATCCATTTCATTCAATATGAGTGTACTGTTTCTCCTACTAGGTTTCATTATAACTATTTTTTAATTTTCACTAAGGTTAGAAGCTTAATATTATGAATTTTGTTTCTATTTCTAAGTTACCAAAATCAACTAGACTTAATATTAAAATCATTCTTAAAGATAACCAGCTGGTATGAGGAAGGAGAGACCTTTGAATCAAAGTTCATGTCAATCCACTCAGCATATGAAGAATGCAGAGCTGAATGTGTGGGACTTTACTTGGCAGTAGAACATGATGTTTTAAAGTAGGTTTTCATCATTGTGCTGTTTACATTGTATTATCTATAACTTGAAAAACATGAATGTGAGGAATTATATAAGCAATCTCTTGCTTATTTTAAGGATAACTGACAAACATAGCAGTAGCAACAAATTGTTTCACAGATGTATGGCAGTAAACATGAAAACTATGTTTTTAATTTTTTCTCTAGTTTTCACAACAGTTTAGATGCAGGCACTAAAGTACCTTTTAAACTGTTTACAGAATTTTTGGTTATGAAGGTAGTGAAGCAGATGATGTGCTCTATGTGGCTTGGTTAAGTCTTGTTCATAGAGGTCTGGAGGGACTACAGATGTATGTTCCAAATACTGAAACATGGCTGCAGGTGAGGATAACAATAATATGCATTTTTCCAGGCTTTTTATAGTTTTATTCTATTCTTATAGTAAAGAATAAGTAAGCTATACATATATATTGTATATATTGCAAACCGAGGTGTCTGTCTCCTGTTTGAAAAGCTGCACACTCATTCATAGCTCAACATTCATTTTTGAAATGACAGGAGAACAGACATGAATAATGTTGATGGCAAATTTAATTTTGCAAGCAGAATATTTTACACTGAATTGATAGGAATTAACTCTTCCGACACGGGGTCAGTCAATTTGACCGAGTCACGTGACCTTCTGTACTCGTTTAAAGTTGATATAAATTTAATACTTATAACTCTCTATATATTGGGTATATCTTCATGAAATTTGGTAGTCTTTCAGTTAATATTACAAGTCTTTCACATACAAAAATCATATTTCTTAGTGGAGTACTTTTAATAAAATAAAATAAAGTTTTGTCCATGAATATATTGAGTATTTGTATTGGATAGTCCGTGTGCAAAGTAATTTTCATGTTAAAATTAAAAATACTTTTCGTCATCTCAAAAATCTCAAGTTTCCTTTATGTGATTCCTAAAACCTCCTAAGTGCATTTCAAACGTTTTTTTCTTATAGTTTATATGTTATTTTCTTTACCCTAATCTCAAAATTGGATCAGTCAATTCGACTGACCTCGTAATCACCAAAAAGAAAACGAAATAAACCTAAATTACCCTATTTTTCTTTCTAGTATGACTTCAAATTGTAACATAAAACTACATTCGTTTATCCTAAGTAGCTCTAAGTTCGTAACATTATACATCTATTTATAATTAAATTTTATTGCTTTATTGCCCTTTGAACTGTGTCTAACTGCTATACGCGCCATTATAAGTTGTAAATCTCACAAGCTGCTCACGTGCGTGCTTTGTGAACAATTTAAATTATATTATTACTTATTTTACCTATTCTAGTCTTAAATAACTTAAAAAGATCCGTACTTTTAAATTTTAGCTACTTTTATA